GCTGCCGCTCCTGGCCCCCCACTACCACCCGGCAGCAGGGGCCAGAACTCCCTGCTGTGCTTCCCTCCTTCAACACAGGGCTCCTGGCTGAGTCACCCCCAATCCCCTTATACCTGGACTCTTTGGTTCCAGAAACAGTTTCCAGACCTCCTGTTAAAGGAGGTACAACCTGTACAACCAAATATTTCCTCTTTTACCTCATTTTTTTCTTGATGAAATATCTCCCAATTTTGCTGTGATTAATTTTGATTTAATCTGGTCAGCATTGTTTTGATGGGGGGCAAAAACATGTATATTGAAAATGGCTCTGATTATCCTATTATCTTCACATCATTTTTATAATGGTGTTGTCCCTTGACCATCAAATTAGAAGATTGTTTTAGTAATAAAGAGGTCATGGTCAGAATATTTAATGAGTAAGAGGAGATCATTGCTGTTTATATTGCTGATTTGTTTTTTATTACACCGTTCCAAGCTTCAATGTCTTTTTCACTGGCATTAAAGTCTGTTAGAAGCATGTCTTCATAGAATCATAGAACAGTAGAACTGGAAGGGACCTCAAGAGGTAGAGTCCTGTCCTCTGCCATCATGGCAGGACCCAGCACCATCTAGACCATTCCTGATAGATGTCTGTCTAATCTGCTCTTAAATATCCCCAGAGATAGAGATTCCACAACCTCCCTAGGCAACTTATTCCAGTGTTTAACTGCCCTGACAGGAAGTTTTTCCTAATGTCCAACCTAAATCTCCCTTGCTGCAGCTTAAGCCCATTGCTTCTTGTTCTATTCCCAGAGGCCAAGATGAACAAGTTTTCTCCCTCCTCCTTATGACACCCTTTTAGATATCTGAAAACCACTATCATGTCCCCTCTCAGTCTTCTCCTTTCCAAACTAAACAAGCCCCAATTCTTTCAGTCTTCCTTCATAGGTCATTTTCTCTAGACCTTTAATCATTCTTGTTGCTCCTCTCTGGATCTTCTCCAATTTCTCCACGTCTTTCTTGAAATGTGGTGCCCAGAACTGGACACGGTAATCCTATTGAGGACCAATCAGTGCAGAGTAGTGCGGAAGAATGACTTCTTGTGTCTTGCTCACAATACTCCTGTTAATGACTGGGTATAGATTTGATTATGTCATCCAAATCAGAATACAACTTTTTTTTTAAATTTCTTCTGTACTGTTTGTAATTGTAGCATAAGCACTGATAAGAATCACAAAATATGAATTTCCAGTGGGAAATCACAGTTATTAGGCATTCATTTTTAGCCACAGATAAGATTTTTGGTGATTTCAGGAGGCTGACTTTAAGAGCAAAACCAGAGGTATATATTTTGTCTTCCTCTGTGGTTTCCTTTTTCTTTTCTCTTAGGTCTTTTATGGAGCCTTTGAAATTCAGTTTGCTGATGGCAGCTAGGTCAATGCTGTATCTGGCAAGTTCCCTTTTAGTTAATGGTATATATTTTTCAGGTTTTGATGTGTTATATCAATCCATTAGAATCTGCATGTTCCATGTTGCCTTCGGTGAGCAGTCTTGTTTTTCTTATAGAATAACCACAGTGTACATGATCCATCAGTTGCAGTAAATTACTTCTTTTAGTTATCCTCCTGCATTCTGTGTCCATAGTTTCCACCATTTATTTCATTCTTGTGTTGGTCTGTTTGGGCTTCTGAGTGCCATGTTGATGGATTTGGCTTCTTTCTTTGTTGTTCTGCGTATTTCTCTAGGTTGCCGTCTTTTTCTCTTCTTAGGTGGTATCCATGTTATCACTTGATGTGGAAATCATATTGGTAGCAGCCATAAAGTGTGTTCTAAATGTTTTTATCTTCTTCTTACCATATTTTTTTTAGGTTGGTTTGCTCTACTTAAAACAGGGGTGGGCAATAATTGTTGACGGGGGGCCAATCCAAGAATTTGGAAAGTGATTGAGGGTCACATTCTTCCATGATATTAACGGTGGAGGTGTGGAGTCTGGGATGCAGGTTAGATGCAGAAGGGAGCTTGGGGTAAGAGAGGGAGTTTGAGTGAAGGAGGCAGTTATGACCTGGGGCACTGGACTGGTGTGCAGGGGGCTGGATTGTGACTGAGAGCAGGGAACTGCAGTATAGGAGGGAGTGCAGGGGTGTGACCTACGGCAGAAAGGGACTGATATCTGTGGTAGGGGATTGGGGTGATGGATCTGGGAGGGGGTAAGGGTGCAGGATGGGGGCAGAGGATTTGAGTATGTGGAGTGGGGGTTAGAAGGTTGAGGAAGGGTGGAGCTGGGGTGCCAGAGGCAGCCTCTGTCCAGGAGACTTACCAACTAGCAGCCTGTTTCTGAATCAGCTTCCCTGCCTGCCCTGCCCCCCCACAGGCTGCAGCCATGTGCTCTGTGAATAACTAGGAGCCTGCCTGTTATTGAAACAGTCAGCTCCCATTGGCCAGTTTCTGGCTAGAAGTCAGATGGGAACAGCTATCAAAGCTTCCCCTCTTCCCTCCAGGCTCAATTTTTAAAGTGAAACCGCTCCACACTGCATTTCTGAGTGTATGGGTGGGGCTAGGCAAGCAAGTAGCCTTCCTGGGGTTCCGTGCAGCATCCGTAAGCTGGATCCGGTGGCTTGGTGGTCCGGATCCAGTCCGCGAGCCATATTTTGCCCAGGTCTGACCTAGTGTCTCATGTCACAAGAAACTCTTTGCCAGTGGAATCTGAAGATCTTCTGCAGGCATGTACTTTGGAATTAGTTGATTTTCTTATCAATTTCTGTTGTAGGTTTCCATGGCTTTGCTCCATAAAGAAGAACAGATATGCTGATATTTATTTTTATTTTATTTATTTATATTTATTCATTTTTATTGGTACTAATCATGCTATTTTTATCAGTCTTTTTTCAAGTGTATAAAAGTTGCTTGCTGCTTTTGATATTTGTTGTTTGACATCTAGTAAGGTGTCACCATCATTGCACATCTCATTTCTTAGATAGGTAACATGACTTTTTTTCTTCTAGTATTTCTCAGTATACTCTCGGATAGCATTTGGGACATTGAGTGCCATATATTTTGTTTTTCCCTTCCTGAAAACAAACCAACTTGTTTTTGTTTCATTTACCAAAAACTTGGTTTTTGTTTTTTTTCGATTAAGCAATGTGTAGAACTAAGCAGGTAAGTGTCATCAGCAAAAATGAGGTATTCTAATTGTACTTCATCATTTGTACATACAAATCTTCAGTTGCCTCATGCAATTACATTATTCGTGATATAGTCAATGAACAGTGTGAACAGTTGTGGAGCATAAACACTTTGCCTTACTGCAGTTTCCACTGCCAAACATTAGCTGATGATGTCACCACATGACTGCACATTATTCATGGCAATATTTAGGGCATGTAATCTAGCCCTTTTCCTTCTAGAAATGCTGAAAAAAGCTGCTCAGTCACCTTGGGTGTTGTCAGACATGCTTGCTGCCCATGAATCAAAGATGAGCAACCAGAGTTTCAGATTACTTATGTGCAGGTTTGTGAGTGTAACTTCCAGTGTTCATCAACACTTATCATTGCAGGACTTTCTTAATGATGTCTGAATGCCTGTGTGTGAGAGTTTTTGTTTATGTAAGAAGACCATAGCACAAAGGCCTGGGGGTAAAAGGCAGGCTAGTTTATTTTATGGGCCCCTCTACACTCTAGAGTGGAGCCAACAATGAGGAGTTCAGTGTGTGGGAGGGGTGTGGGTCTGGACAAGAGGGTGGATGCAGGAGTAGATTGGGAGTTGGTGGGTCTGGAGGGTGCAGAAGCTGTCTGGGGTGGTATGGCTGTGCAGTAGGTAGAATGTAGGAGCAGAGAGGGGGTGCAGGGTTTGGGTGGGATGGGGGGCCACAGTGCTGGAGCACCAGCTCTCCAATGCTGGGGGGGGGGCAAGCCTCAGGGGCTGGATGCAGGCAAGATGAGGGACAGATCCAGCCCCTAAACCATAAGTTCCCCACTCCTGTTCTACAGTATAATTTTGCAATAGCTTTCCAACTGTTCATCCAAGAGGTATCCTTCACCTGATCTGTCAAAGCACGCTTAATATGCTGGGAATCGGCATTTCCTCTCATAGCTGCTCTCTACCAGATTTAATTTGCTAGTCAAAGCAGCATCCCAGGATGTGGCTGGGGACTGCCTCTATACCACTGCTTCATACTAGCAACTACTTGGAGCCATGGGTAAAATTGAATAAGAAGTAAGGACCAATGACAGAGAACCACTCAAAAAGTATCCTGATTTTTTTTCAGGTACAACCTCTCCTTCTTTTGGGATGTATAATCAAGAATTCCACTAATGGTTTTCATGTTATTCAAAAAGGACTATAATTTTGTTTACACTATTCACAAAAATAGTTAGTTTAAAGTCTTTGGGAGTACACACGTTATCAAGATAATTTGATCCATAAAAACAGAATCCATTCATTTCTATACCATTCATCAATGCAGCATCTGAGTATCTAATTTCAGAACCAAATTACACAAGGTTTTTTCGTTAGAAAAGAACAATACGTTTTAAAAGATATATAAGTTTGCTAGTACCAGAATACTTTGCTCTTTCCACATGTGCTTTTATATTTTATGATGGAATACCTGGAAATACGACTTCAGGCCATACATGCAATTATTGTATATACCCCCTGGCATAATATTGCAAAGAGATTAATTAGTTCTTTAAAACAGTTTTAACAAATAATAAGACTGTTTAAGAATGATGATATTCACAGATAGGGACTTGTAGGTTTGTTCTTAAGTTGAATTTGTATGTAAGTCGGAACTGGTACATATTGTAGGGGAAACTCTAGCCAAACATTTCTCCAGAGCTCAGTTTTATTCTCCCACACCTCACTTCCCTCAGTCCTTTATTATCAAGCTGAGGTGTCTGCTGAGAAAAGCCGTTCCGCGTCTCCCTGGTCTGCTGGGTGGGGCGCTAGCTTCACGTCTCCCTGGTCTGCTGGGGGGAAAGGCAGCTAGTGCGGGGTTGCCTCATCCCGTTTGTAAGTAGGGAATCCGATGTAAGTCGGATCCATGTAACCCGGGGACTGCCTGTATACCACAAGGCCTAAATTGCCTGCTGCTAACCTGAGGCCTTTGACAATTAGGGAAAAATGTATTAAACTTAATCCCCAATGTAACTTCATGAATTTTATTGGAGTTATACCAGGCATGGATTGATCCAACATGCCTAGCTTCTTCATAATTTACTTAATTTCTCCTGCAGCCTAAGGAAGACTATTGATAAATTCATTTGGTCTTAAAGTCAAAGCTTTTCACTATCTGATAACAAAGTACTATCACTAGTGTATACCCAAATGTACCTTTGTCATGCAAACTTGGTCAGATGTCACTGTTTATTATTGCTATAAAACTGAGATGATAAAAAAATCTAAACTTTTAAACAAAAATTACACAAAGTGGTAGGCAGACACAGCATGGCTAACAGGAATGAGCCCAAGTTTGGAAGCCAGGAACACTTATATTTTAATCCCACCCAAACTTTACTTGTGAGAATAAGACCAGTAAAATCAAAAGGAATACAGGGGTGTCCACAAGATTGAGACACCTTAATTTGGGAGGCAGGGGTAGGCTTAACTTGGGGGTCTAGCTATTTAAAGCATGGCTCTTTAAAAATCTTTAGTTAAAAATTTTGAGGTAGCATTTCAGAAGGATTGCCTGAGAGATAGCTATTAGCTAATTCTGAGTCATTATCTACTGGCAGTCAGTGTTACTCTAGAACAGAGAAACCTTCAGGAGTATTGATAGTCATAAGCGGGGCTCGCTGAACCATGGTGAGCTCCGCTAGCTAGCCGCGCTGTCCGGCGATCTGCACATGCACAGATCGTTCTGCGCATGCACAGATCTCCCGAACCCGGCTCTTCCAGGTTACAATCTACTCGCCTGTGGTGAATAGATTGTATTATTTGTCGAGCCCTGGTTATAAGATACAAAAAACTGTTCATAGCCAATTATTTACCCAATGAATATAGTCCTTATTTCCTATTTTCAAACTTTGAGAAAACTCACCATGTCACAACATAAAGTGCCATTCTGAAAGGTATTTTAGTAATCTGTAATTTTAAAATAAAGTTTATACTCTTTTTGTCAGTATATGTGCTCTGTCTGTACTCAAAGTATGAAAAGTATGTTTCAGCACTAAATCATTCTGAGGTCTTACAACAGAATCTACAGGAATGTGTATTATAAGTCTTAAAATAATAGTGCCTTGCACCTAACCAGGGAAACTGGTTATTCTGTTTACATGAAGTAGAAAGATAATTCCTTCTCCAAATAATTTACGTTCCAGAAGAATCCTAGATATCTGAACTATTACAAAACAAACACTGGAGGCACTCAAGCTAGCATTCCTCTGCAGCTGCTGGCAAGCAGGGCTTTCTCTGAGCAGCTCTTTACTCTGAAATAGCTTTTCCCTCCTTGGCTGTTAGTCCAGCATAGCCTATACTATGTGTGACTTGCTTCACCTGCTTGCTTCGCATTTAAGTCAGTTCTGTTGATATTAATAAAATGCAATATTTACCCAATTTCTACTTCTGAGCAATGACAGTCCAGGAATTTAACTACTAATACACATATCAACAGAAGACCATTATATTGACTACATTTTTGTTTTGGCTCCCACCTGTGGGCCATGTGTTGAGCCCCGCAAAAACCCAAACCGTACCACGAGCCACAAATAAACAGGCGGTGGGGCAGCATGCGTCCCATGTGCCACATGTTGAGTAGCCCTGTTCTAGGGTCACAATAAGACACACCAAGTGTAAGTGGTAGAAAAGATTTACAGTGAAACAAGCATATTTTGAATTAGAAAGAGAAGTAACGATTTTCTTCTTGTCTACTTATTCTCATTGGACAGGTTTTTGAAGAAATCACAGCAGATATTAGTTTTGGCATGGGATTTGAAAGAAGATGGTATTATGGTGTTTTTTAGAACTTTCCAGAGTATCAAAGTATCTGAGGGAGAAGCAGAGGAAAGTAATTGTATATAACACAAACCTCTGCCAATGTGTTGCTATTCTACCATGCTATTCATGGCATTTTATAAAATAAAATAAAATAAATGAAGTCCCAACTCTAAAGATATTACAGTTACCCTGTAGACCCAATCCAAGAAGGTTGAGTGCTTCTTGCAAATTCTATTTAGTTCAGTGACTGTTGAGGATGTTCATCATGTTGCAAGAAACAATACTTAAATTTCATAGGATATAGCAGTGAATAAATGACAAGAAAAAGATATGGTGAGGACAAGAGTTAACAGTAAATGATTGACATGCTTCGTCATATACATGTCTTGTTCTTCTGTTTATATACATGTACATATTTTAATAATATGAGAGGGCCTAGTGAATAAAGAGGAGGAAAAAATCATCTCAAATATAGCTATATAGAATTAGGTTAATAAAGAAGGGTGGTTGCAGATCTTCATTATAAAGTCATAACTTAGCCCACTTTGGTTTAGAAAATTAATTTGGCCTGGAAATTGTCAGATCTACTGTGAAGTAAAGAGAAGTTTTTGCAAAATCTGAAAATTAAGATATGTTATGGAATCATAGAATAGTAGAACTGGAAGGGACCTCGAAAGGTCATTGAGTCCAGTCCCCTGCCCTCCTAGCAGGACCAAATACTGTCTAGACCATCCCTGATAGACATTTATCTAAACTACTCTTAAATATCTCCACAGATGGAGATTCCACAACCTCCCTGGGCAATTTATTCCAGTGTTTCACTACCCTGACAGGAACTTTTTCCTAATGTCCAACCTAAACCTCCCTTACTGCAGTTTAAGCCCATTGCTTCTTGTTCTCTCCTCAGAGGCCAAGATGAATAAGTTTTCTCCCTCCTCCTTATGACACCCTTTTAGATACCTGAAAACTGTATCATGTCTCCCCTCAATCTTCTCTTTTCTAAACTAAACAAACCCAGTTCTTTCAGTCTTTCTTCATAGGTCATGTTCTCTAGACCTTTAATCATTCTTGTTGCTCTTCTCTGGACCCTCCCCAATTTCTCCATATCTTTCTTGAAATGTGGTGCCCAGAAGTGGACACAATACTCCAAGGCTGTTTCTAGACTGCATCCCTTTTCTGTAAAAGGGATGCAAATTAGACACATCACAATTGCATGTGCAAATGATTTAAATCCCCCTCACTTCATTTGCATAAACATGGCTGCCGCTTTTTTCTGGCTCGGAGCTTTGCCGGAAAAAAGCACCAGTCTAGACGGGGATCTTTCGGAAAATAAAGCCTTTTCCGAAAGATCCCTTATTCCTAACCAGCACAGAGTACAGCAGAAGAATGACTTCTCGTGTCTTGCTCACAACACACCTGTTAATGCATCCCAGAATCATGTTTGCTTTTTTTGCAACCGCATCACACTGCTGACTCATATTCAGCTTGTGGTCCACTATAACCCCTAGATCTCTTTCTGCCGTACTCCTTTCTAGACAGTCGCTTCCCATTCTGTATGTGTGAAACTGATTGTTCCT